CTGGGACTATGGGCATGCACTACCAAGCCCAGCTAATTGTATTTTAATAGGGAAGGAGTTTCACCATGTTGCCCAGCCTTGTCTGGAACTCTTGAGCTCAGGCAATCCACCTGCCTTGGCCTCCCAAAGTGCTAGGATTATTGTGGGCCGCTGTGCCTGGCCTCAATCATTTTTTAATACAATAAAAAATAAAAATACACCAAAAAAATGCAAATAAGAAACGCAGTGTGACCTTGGGCAAGTGGCCTAACCTCTCTGTGCCTCTGTTTTGTCAATTGAGAAATGGGCATAATAACTCTCTGCTAAGTCTATAAGGATTTTAAGATTATATAGATATTGACCAGACACGGTGACTCATGCCTGTCATCCCTCTTTGTCAGAGGGGCAGCAGTGACAATTGCAGGAGAATACTTGAAAATGTCCCCTACTCCGTGGCAACTGTGGGTTCCCTTGAGGTCACCACTCACATCCTAATAATCTGCATCACCAGTGGCCAGAGTGATGCTTGCCCCAAATCTGACCCTCTGAGTGTTTGCTAAGTGAATAATTAAGTGACAAAGTGATTCAGACAAGAGGACCTGCAACATTTTTTCCTAAGATAATTCATGTCAGGGTATGTGCAGAGGAAGGATAACCCAGCCCTGGGGTCAGCTAGTGGTTCCCCCTGCCCCACCCCGCCCACACTTGCCAGGGACCCCACCCCGTGCCCCAATTCCTTCAGCTCTCCCACCAGAGAGAAGCAGATATTCACTCTGGCTCCAGGAGAGCCCCTCTTTCTTGAAAGACCTTTTGTCTTTTTCTTTTGTTTTTTCTTTCTTTTTTTTTTTTTTTTGAGTTTGAGTCTCACTCTTTTGCCCAGGCTGCAGTGCAATGGCATGATCTCAGCTCACTGCAACCTCTGCCTCCTGTGTTCAAGCAATTCTCCTGCCACAGCCTCCTGAGTAGCTGGGACTACAGGCACGCGCCATCGTTTCCAACTAATTTTTGTATTTTTGTAGAGTCGGGGTTTCCGCATGTTGACCAGGCTGGTCTTGAACTCCACCCACTTCAGCCTCCCAATGTGCTAAGATTTCAGGCGTGAGCCACTCTGCCTGGCCCTTTTTTTTTTTTTTCTTTTTGTGAGACAGAGTCTTGCTCTGTCATCCAGGCTGGAGTGCATTGGCACTATCTCGGCTGACTGCAACCTCCACCTCCCGGATTCAAGCAGTTCTCATGCCTCAGCCTCCTGAGTAGCTGGGACTACAGGCACTCACCACCACGCCCAGCTAATTTTTTTAACTTTAGTAGCGACAGAGTTTCTCCATTTTGGCCAGGTTGGTCTCAAACTCCCAACCTCAGGTGATCCTCTCACCTCAGCCTCCCAAAGTGCTGGGATCACAGGCATGAGCCACCATGCCTGGCATGAGGGACCTGTTTCTATTTCACAATTTGTAGACGAATCGAAGGGCACACTTCCTGAGAGACACCTCAGTGCTAGGCCCAGGAGATCGTGCCAAGCAGAAAATTTGGCCATCTGGGGCAGGGGAGGGAGGAGGGAGCTTGTGAAACTGACAGTCTCCCAGGAAACACACCTGTGAATTTCAGTTTCCTAGCTACCACAACAAAACTGGGTGGCTTCAAACAGTAAGTGTTTTTCTGGGGTTTTTGTTGCTGTCGTTGAGGCAGAGTCTAACTCTGTCGCCCAGGCTGGAGTGCAGCCTCTGTCTCCCAGGTTCAAGTGATTCTCCTGCCTCAGCCTCCCGAGTAGCTGGGATTACAGGCACACACCACCATGTCTGGCTAAGGTTTAGTATTTTTAATAGAGATGGAGTTTTGCTATGTTGGCCAGGCTTGTTGCAAACTCCTGTCCTCAGGTGATCCACACTCCTTGGCCTCCCAAAGTGCTGGGATTACAGGTGTGAACCACCACACTAGGCCTGCTTGTTTTGAGATAGGCTCTCACTTTGTTGCACAGGCTAGAGTGCAGTGGCACAATCACGGCTTACTGAAGCTGCAACATCTCTGACTCAATCAATCCTCCTATCTCAGCCTCCTGAGCAGCTGAGGCCACAGGTGTGCACCACTATGCCAGGCAATTAAAAAAATTTTTTTTTAGTAGAGACAGGGTTGTTGCCTTGTGTTGCCCAGGCTGGCCTCGAACTCCTGGGCTCAAGTAATTCTCCTCCCTTGACTTCCCAGAGTGCTGGGATTATAGGCATGAGCCACTGGACCCGGCATTAACAAGCGGGGATGGCTCTCTCCTGGCTTCTGGTGGTTTCGGCAATCCTGAGCCTTCCTTGGGGTTATATCTGCATCCCTCCAGTCTCTGCCCCTGCCCTCCCTCGGCCCTCCCTGCTGCGTGTGTCTGTGTCTTCTCCTTTTCTATCTCTTGTAAGGACACCTGTCATTGGATTTCGGGGCCAGCCACCCTAATCCAGGATGATCTCATCTCAAGATCCTCCACTGAATGACATCTTTGAAGACACTTACTCCAAGTAAGGTCACATTCACAGGTTCTGGAATGTGGGCATTTCTTTTAGGGCGGGGGCATCTTTCAACCCATTAAACTGACAGAGGCACTTTCCATAGACCTGCAGCGTGGAGGGGAAAAGGGCTGGCAGGCCCTGGACACACAAGCCAAGGGACAGAGCTTGTTAGGATGCAGGGGGGGCTCCTGGACAATGAACCAGGGATGAGGCCCCTAAGCTGGGGATCCAGAAACCACCCCCCAAGGCCATATACACACACACATCCTGGTGTGGCTGAAACTGAGAGAACAGGAGAGAGCAGGGCTGGGTGTGTCTAGGAATGAGACATGCCAGGCCCTGCATTCCTGAGTTGGAAGAGAAATTGACAGTTTAAGTCAGGAGGGGCAAGGCCCATTTTTCTTTCACATGGAAGTCAGAGCCAGGAACTTGGTAGTTTGCCTTCATGGGATCCCAATGTTCCCCAGGAATATTATGCTGGACATCAGTGTAGCCAGGTGTGACTCCCAAAAAAAAAAACACTTTGGCTCACAGGGACGGGTTTTTTTGGGGGCACATGGCCTGCTGGGGGCGGGGCCGTCCTTGGTCAAGAAGGAAGGTGACCTGACTCGGGTGCTCATGGGCGCCCTCTGGCCTCTGTGCAGAGAACTGACTATAGGGGTGAGGGTGAGGGTGGAGCGGGAGGACCAGGGTGGAAGCCCTCCACCAGGTGGGAGGTGATGGGGCTGGCTGGACTAGGAGAGGTGTGAGCAGGGTACACCACCATACTCAGCTAATTTTTGTATTTTTTTAGTAGAGACGGGGTTTCACCGTTAGCCAGGATGGTCTCAATCTCCTGATCTTAGGATCCACCTGCCTCAGCCTCCCAAAGTGCTGGGATTACAGGCATGAGCCACCGTGCCCAACCGGATTTTTTTTTTTTTTTTTGAGAACAAGTCTCGCCCTGTCGCCCAGGCTGGAGTGCAGGAGCACAAAATCAGCTCACTGCAACCTCCGCCTCCTGGGTTCAAGTGATTATCCTACCTCAGCCTCCTGAGTAGCTGGGTTTACAGGCGTTCACAACCACACCCATCTAATTTTTGCATTTGTAGTAGAGGTAGGGTTTCACCATGTTGGACAGGATGGTCTCAATCTCCTGACCTTGTGATCCACCTGCCTCGGCCTCCCAAAGTGCTGGGATTACAGGCATGAGCCACCATGCCCGGCCCAACACTGTCTCAAAAAATAAAAATAAAAATAAATCAGAAAGGAGGTGCCCAGCACCGCTTTGTGTCTTGAGCAATCCCATAATCCCATCACCCCTTCTCTGGGCATTTCCTCATCGGACAACAGGAACCAGATGGAGTCTGGCTCAGGACTTTGCAGCCTCAGTCATGCTGTCCCCTGGGCTCTCCAAGTGTGCAGGGGGCAGCTCAGATGCCAGGCTCAGGCAGGGCAGGCAGCACAGTCCCACAGAAGGCACTGGCCAGCCCAGGGAACTATTGCTTAGTGGGATGGCAGAGGTCAGCAGAACAGGAAGAGAGGGACAATAGCTGTGCCTGTTGCCTGGCCTGCCACAGCCATTGCAGTGTTTGCCAGCTGGGTGGGGCTGGCTAAGCAATCTTCAGCAGTGAAGCTCAAGGTTTCATCTCCCCTTTCTCTCCCTCTCTCTCTCTCCTTCTTTCTTTTTCTTTCCCTTCCTTCCTTTCTTTCTCTTTCT